CTATTTGTATATGTCTAAGACTCAGTAATGACTACCAAATTTGCGGGAATTTTAAATTAGCCATATGGAACAAGACGCAAAACTCCAGATAACTCGACAAAATTTCACACACCATAACTTAATAAATAATTCCCAAGCGATCCCATCCAATAACCTAACCCACCTATCAGCAGTCTCACGAGCTTTAATAATTAATAAAATACATTAAATAATGCAAATTCCAATCCTCACACAACCTGGGGCACTTACTGGTCACTGTAATAATTAATCAATTACAATAAATAATAACGCAAGGGCCTATCACCGCACAACCCGGGGCGCTTCTGGTCACTTCGTTAATTAATAAAATAACACAAGTACCCATCACTGCATAACCCAGTGCGCCTACTGGTTGCTTTGTTAATTAATAAAATAAATAAAACAACGCAAGAACTCATCACCACACAACTGAGGGCGCTTTCTGGTCACTTTGTTAACTAATAAAATAAATTAAATAACGGCAGTGCCAATTACTGCAAAACCCGGGGGCTTACTGATCATTTTGAAAATTAATAAAATTTATCAAGTAATTACGCGAATGCTCATCACCAGATCATCCAGGGCACTCACTGGTCACTAGTGGTTGCGCTTGATTGGTGCTTGGTTTAGTATTTGGTGCTTTTTAATAATGAATAATGCAACCAGTTAGCACTCCGGATTGTCAAATGATTGACGCTTGCATTATTTTATTTAATTTATTAATAAATAAAGCGACCAGTAAGCGCCCTGGGTTGTGCGGTGATTATAGCTCCTGCGTTTTTCTAGTAATTAACAAAGCAACCAGTAAGTCCCCCGGGTTGTGTTGTAATTGGCGTTTGCGTTTTCTTATTAATTACCAAAGCGACTAAAAAGCGCCTCGGGTTATGCAGTGATTGGCGCTTGCGTTACTGTGTATTATAATATATTAATTATTATAGCGATCAGTAAGCACCCTGGGTTGTGGTAATTGGCACTTGCGTTATTTAATGTATTTTATTAATTATTAAAGCTCGTGAGACTGCTGATGGGTGGGGTGGGTTATTGGGTTGAATAGTTTGGGATTAATTTATTAAGTTATCGTGTATGAATTTTTCTCGAGTTATCTAGGTTTTTGCGTCTTGCTCCATATAGCCAATTTGTTGGCTTGATAGCCACTTATGGGAGGGCTATACTGTGTATGATACATATTAGGCGTTAAATTAAATCTTGTGAATCCAAAAATTCATTTTGATGTTTGATTGTTCTAATTATAGCAACAACGTTTTTCGTGTTAGCCAGAGAGTTTTTCTAATCATCCAGAAGAAGTATACCTTCTCCAGTTTTTTTCTTTCTAACCAATTCATGGAATTGACGATATTTTTATTTAAAATTGACCCAGCTAAAGTTTTCCTGGACAGAGGGTCGTTATTAGGATTGAGACTTCTCACAAAATCTGTAAAATACACTGAATCTACAGCAATTAAAGGTAAAGTGCAACTAAAGAAAAATGCCGCTTATTTACATCGATTTCAATTTTCCTAAAAATAAATAAAATCATTTAAGTATACACATTTTTTTTCAAGTCATGTCCTTATTATCTGTATTTAGTTTACCTTTCTCGATTCATTTTTCTTTGTATCTTAACAATGCACAGTTGATAAGCTTATAAGTTTGTACACAGTTTAAAAGATAAATGCTTTATATTTATTTCTATACCGTTTTGAGGTTTACATAAAGTTCAATTCATTTTTTTACGTTCTCTACAGTTTTGTATGTTCTTAACAGTTTCTTACGAATTTACAGTAGAATACTGAAAATTTTGTAGAAAACCCATCCCTGCGGGTAAGGACGCGGGCACATGGAGAGCGTAACGCGTACCGCGTAACCGTTTGAGCCGTTAAGAGTGAGAGGGGTGAAATACGCGAACCTCTCTCTCACTCTCATGGACTCGAACGGTTACAGGGTATGCTTTAATTACGCTCTCCATGTGACCGCAGCCTTTCGACCTACGAGCTACGAGCTACGAGCCTACTCCGTAAGTGTGCAAGAGAGAAAGACTCACTCTTTCTACGCGAGCCCCACTGCCCGACTGCCCCAGCTCCAGCTGCTAATAAGCGGTCTATTCTTTATATGTCCATAATTATGGATTGGGTGAATTTGGGTCAAGGACTCAAGGTTTGTGCATAGAGATATGAGAATTGGGATTGGCAACATAGCGGTCGCGCCATCTGTTGGTGAGTTTGCAAGCAGCGAGAGAAGGCTTTTTTGCAGGCTCAAAACTCAATTAGTGCTCGCAAGTGTAATTAGTTTATTCTTTATGAATATTTTATGAATATTAATTAATTGTTGTGACAGTGTGTGTAATAGGTAGATTAATTAGAAGTGTATCTGTGATTAGCGCTGTAACATTGTTGGCAAAGTAAGTGGCTTGCCAATTTTTATTTATCCTAAATTTTGTAATGTTAACATTTGTGCAGCATACACTCAATAGGGATTGTGTCGTTAATTTTTAAAAATACATATATTTTTTAGTCAACAAAAATGTATTTAACAATCTACGAAATATGCAAGTCTCG